GTGAACAGAGAACACAGCTGTTAGAACTCATCACATTAGTTCTGATGGACACAAACACACAGACACACTAATGTGTTCGCCAATCAGCTGATCAATAAAGAGCCATTGATTTAGTTTGTTGATTGGTCGTTTAAACGATTACAGGAGACAGGAAGTAATGGATTACTGTAGATTATAGAACCACTTATTGATCAGCTGATTGGTTCACTACAGCTGGAAGCAGCGACTGAAACACTGAGACGCTAAGCTAAGCTAACGGTCTGGTAGCGGTCGTTGGGCGTCTGTACAGGAAGACCTAAACTTTAAACTCTGAACTGACTGATCTAAACTTACCGGCTGAACTTCACCATCACCTCCATCATCATCATCATCATCATCAGCAGCAGCAGCAGCGTCCTGATCAGCCAATCACAGCAGGTTTTATCTCAGCATCACTGCTCTTATGCAGCTGAATATAAAAATCTGCTTTTTACTGAAATGCTCTGAGCTGCTGCAGCTGATCCACAGAACCAGAGAACACATGATGTCTACGGGTCAGAACTGACTAAGTCCGACTGAAGCGGGAACAAGTCACAGACGAGCAGAAGCCGCCTGAAAACTGCTGAAATGTGTCGCAGACGTTTATAAAACCGGCCAATCAGAGAAAACAGTCATTTAGTGTTTTGGGATTTTCTCCTGAACACTGATGTCTGGTTCTGGTTGTTTGAGCGTTCCACTTTGCTTTGGACTCATCCGGACACTCACCCCGTCTCTGACGATGTTGTTGGCGTTGCCCCGGGCAACAGATGGCGGCTGCGCTCTGGGAGGCGGTCCTCTGCTGGGATTGGCTGGAGCCGCTCCGTCAGCCCTGATGACATCACACAGGTAAGACACACAGGACGGGCAGTGTGTGTGTGTATGTGTGTGTGCGTGTGTGTGTCTCACTGGTATCCCTGCGATCTCTTCCGTCGGTTCATCCCGAAGCGTCGCAGCAGCTCGTTCCTGCGCAGGAAGACGAAGGCGGCCAGAGCGAGCAGCGGCAGGACGAGGAAGAAGAAGACGAGCAGCCCGTCCCTCAGAGACGTGTCCTTATCTGGGGAGAGAGACAGCGTTAGCCCTCAGGTGACAGGTGGGCGGAGCTCCGTCCCTCAGGTGTGTCCAGGCGTCGTACCGTTCCAGGTGGGTCCGCTGTCCACGCTGCCTCCGTAGCCTTTGAGCTCACAGAAGGGCGGAGCCCAGTCGCCGTCACAGTGACAGTTCTTGTTGCTGTTACACACCTGGAGACACACAGAGATCATGTGACACACCTGGAGACACACAGAGATCATGTGACACACCTGGAGACAGGCAGACAGACAGACAGACAGACAGACAGACAGACAGACAGACAGACAGACAGACAGACAGACAGACAGACAGGTGTCTCACCCCGTGTCCGTGACATTTCTTCTCCACGTCACAGTCGTAGTTCAGGACTTCAGCACTGCGACACTCAAAGTTCATACAAACCTGAAACCACAGAAGAAGAAACTAGCTTTAATGTTTCTCCCCTCGTCCTCCCCCCCTCCTCACCTTGTCCTCCCCCCTCCTCACCTTGTCCTCCCCACACTTGGTTCCCTCGGTAACCATTCCCGGGTCGGGGACGTCTGATCCCAGCATGAAGTCGACTCCGAAACACTTGTCGCCTCCGATCGGCGTGGTGATGATCGACGGCTCGATGCCGAACACCGTCACCGTCTGAACGTTGGAGCACTGCAGCTTCCCGCACAGAGCGTTTCTATGGAGACGGAGACGACAGCAGGCGGTCATGTGACCAGGAGGCATGATGGCAGTCTGGTCAAAGTCACCTGTTTGTCCACCTGAGCGGGGACATTCTGTTCACCGCTCAGGTTGGGACGGACCTTCAGCGCACTGCACTGTGAGGACCAAACCGTTTATGAGGACATTCTGTTTCATTAGGACGTGTCTGCTTAACGAGGACGTTTCTACCTCGTGAGGACGTCACCGTTTTACAAGGACATTACTATTTATGACATCATTGCTCTATCCGCGGACATTCTGCCTCGTCAGGACATTTACACTGTTTGGGAACATTTGTGAGGACAATACCATCTTGGACATTTCTGTTTCATGACGACACATCTGCATACTGAAGAGATTTCTGTTTGTGAGGACGTCTGCCCGGCGTACGCCCTCCCGTGTTGCGAGGACGGAGGTATAAACATGTCTCTCACCTGCTCTCACACTTCTTGTAGCCGTAGTTGTGGTAGCCACAGTTGCCGAAGCGATCTCCTTTGCTGTTGACGTTTTTGAAACAGATTTCAGGAGCAGCTTTCGCCTCTGAGGACGAGTGTGGACAGGAAGAAGGAGGACAGACGGTGAGAAGGGAAGCAGGGCATTTCTGGGAATACAAAACCACACAGAGTCGTACGTACTGGATCCGAATATGGCCTGACACTGTCCGTCGTAGTGCTGACACTTCCCGTTGTAGCAGTAGGCCTGCTGGTTCCTGCACGGCTGCCCGTTCTGGAAAGACACGACGCTTTGTGAGACAACGGCCACACGGCAGCAGATATGGTTATAATGCTGCACAGAGGAGACGCTGGTGCATCGTGGGGACATTTCTGCATTTTCTTAAACCTTGCGAGAACGTTTCTAACTTGTGAGGACATTTCTGCACCGTTTAATAAAGTGCAGACTTGACTCGAGCTGCTTCTCCTAAACAGGTGAACTGTTGGAGGCGTCACCTGGATGAAGACGTCGCTCTGACAGAAGGACGAGGAGCCGTTGCAGTATTCTGGCAGGTCACATTCATCAGTGCTGGAGCGACACACGCTTCCTCCCGGCAGGTACTGAGCAAAAGGAGACGTATTTATACACCTGAAGCATCCCTCTGGTTGTGAGTTTGTGAGCAGGCGGTGTTTACCTGGCACTTGTAGCAGCACTCTCCATAAGCACACTGAGCGCCAGGCTTCAGTTTACAGGTCTGAAACTCACAGCAGGGATCCTCCTCACACTCCTGCACACACAAACACACACCTCCTTGACAGAACTGGCCTCCTGTGATTCTTCTGCATGTCTGAATTAAACTTTCTGCATTTTAATAGTTTTTAAAATGAATGTTCTACACTTCTTGGCAGAGTTTTGTGCTTCCTGAGGTGCTGTTAGCAGCTAAACGGGTCAGTGAGCGCAGTTTGGCCGCTTCAGAGTCGTAACTCGAATATGAACACGCTGACATGAAACACACATTTATAGAACATACACAGGAGTTACTCTTTCCAGGAACTTCATGATCTGATGATAGACGGTGTCGGCTGTGAATCAACATCAATAAAAGACCCTCAGCATGACTGCAGAACTGGCTTTTTAAAAATGAAACCTGTGACAAAATGATGCTCTTTTGTCTCAAAACCTTGAAAAACTTCTATTTAATCACTTTGTTTGATTTGATGTTTGACGTATCCATCTTTACTAAACCACACAAACAGATCACAATAATAATTTAGAATCCATAAATGAAGGTGCAGACCTTCTCTGATCCACAGTCACACTCCTCCCCGACGTCCACCAGCCTGTTCCCGCAGTAGGGGGCGCTGTAGGCCTCATCAGGTCGGGGGACGTTCAGGAGACACGTTCCTCCAGTTAACAAGATCATCTTCTCAAAATCGTCAGCACTGCAGCTGCTGAAGTTCCTGGATCCTCTGAGGGAGGAAACAGAGTCCATGTTAGTCAGTCCTGAGGTCCCACTGACTCCTACGACTCTGAACTGTCTATGACGGAATCAATGAAACATCAAAACAATCGAGTTTTTTGGCTTTTTCACAGATTTGTTAAAGGTCTTCTGGAAATATGACAAAACCTGTTGGGTCATAAATGTTCCTGCAGGAATGCTAATTTTAATGTAAAGCCTGATGGAACCATTTCTTCACCACTCTGATGTGCGTTTGGGCTCATTGTCTGGTTGGAACATCCAACTGTGTCCAAGATCAACCTTCTGCTGATGGTTTCAGGTTTTCCTGAACATCGTGGAGGTGATCCTCCTTCTTCATTGGTCCATCTACTTTGTGTGAAGCTCCAGGTCCACTGGCAGCAGAACAGAACCAGAGCATGATGCTGCCACCTCCATGCTTGATGGTAGGTTTGGTGTTCTTGGGGTTAAAGGCCTCACCTTCTCTCCTCCAGACATGGTTCTGCT